ATAAAAAGTTGCTCTGTAGGAAGGTAGGATCTGTCCTTCATAAGCTGCTTTTCTAGGCTGCGGTTACTCCTGACTTTGGCTCTTTTGAAGGGCTGGACATGAAGGTTTTCCCATTGGGAGCCCAGTGTCATGGGCCAGAAGGGCTTGGACATCGTCAGGGTCTGGCTGCTGTTCAGTGGCCTCTCCAAAATGAGGGGTTGGAGCGTGACACAGCCCAGCCCCGCGGGGTTTCTGGGACCCAGTGAGCTCAGACATCTCTGTGGGCTGGCACAGGACTGGCAAAGGTGGAGGGTAAATCTTTCAAGATAGACCAGCGAAACGGGTAAGCCTGCAGACCAGGTTACTGGTGAGGTTTTGAAGATGCCCAAGGAATTTCCATTTCTGTGGTTGCTCTCCAAAATCCCCCAGGGCAATGTCCTTCTGGCAGTCCCTACTTTGGCGGAGCTTTGCCTTGCCCCGAGCAGTGCTGCGTGCCTTCCCAAGGGCTGTTGATGCTCCTCCACCTCGTGGCCTCTCCCGCAGTGGTACCCAGCTGTGCTGGGGACCAGCAGCAGGAGGAGGCAGCACGTGCCTGAAAGCTCATGCTCATGGGTTAGCAAGGCAGGGTGAAGACCTTCCCTTAAATACGTTATCTGGGACAAATAGGAAGGGCAGTGGGACAAGCTATGGGACCCCAGGGACCTGCCCAGACCACCAGGTCCAGCCATGAGCCTCCCCCGTGCAGCAGAAGGGCTGTTACTGGGGAGAGCAGCTGGAGGTCCAGCACACAGCTCCCCTAAAATCAATAGCCCAGCAGTGACGGGCATCCTTGAGAGCCTGCATTTTCCAAGGTGCTCAGCCATCACTGCAGCCTGGCAGAGGGTGTACACGGCTGTCAGCAAGCACGTAGCCTCACCACCGCCAAAGCTGGGGGCTCCACACCGTACCAAGCCTTTAATCCTACTTTACTGGCTCTTTGCTGCCAGTGGGTCCAGAGCTATGGCACAGGACCGCGGTTGCTTTAGGCTGAGCTAGCTGGAGGTTCACAGAGAGGGATGCCAGGAGCTGGAGGAGTGTACAAACCCCAGGGTGCAGAGTGGTCACCCCTAAAACATGCCGGGGTGCTTGGGAGGCTGCACCATCGCTGCGGGTCTGGCTACGAAATCATCCTCTAAGCCATTCCTGGGGTCGGGCACTGGAGCTGGGGTGCAGGCAGGGCTGTGCAGCAGGGCCAGCCTTCGGGAATGCCAGCACAGTGCTTGCTCAGCTGCCCTGCCAAGGAGGTGGCGAGGGGACACTGCAAATCACAAGTTCTTTGAGCTCATGAATTAAAAATGTGCAAGACTTAATTACTACTGGGGTTTCTCTCCGGAGTGGTGCTGAGCCACAGGCAGGCACTGAGTCAGGGCTGGCACAGGGGGAGCGGGCAGAGCCAGTGGAGAAAGCTGGGGTAAAAGCAGCTCAAAATGAACTCTGAGAGAGTTTTCAGTGGAGGATACCCCACAGTTCGCAGCCCTGAATTCACCTCGATTAGGGCAACTTTGGGCTGAGAGCATAGGTACTTTTGGTAGTCACCTTGAAGGAGAGCAGCTGCTCAGAGATGGGCACGGAGGGATGGCAAAGCATCCCCCCTCGCCTGCATGTTTATTTAGGGTCTAGCAGAAACAGGGCCCCAATCTTGGCCAGGGTCTCTCCGAGCCTGTGCACAGGGAGGGTTGCTTTCCACTGACCCACATGAAAATGGGATTTTCCATTCTGCTCTTGCTGCAGGGGCGGCTCATCCTGTCCAACAAGACAGCTCGTACCATTGCCTTCTTCTACACCCTGTTCCTGCACTGCCTCGTCTTCCTGGTAAGTGCGGGGGCCATGGGGGGTGGGCACCCCATTAAAATGGCAGCAAGCATCCCATCCAGGGGGAATTTTTGCATTTTAAAGATATTTATGCCAAGCAAGTGTGTTGCAGCTGGTATATCACCGGCTCCAGAGGCGCAGGGTGGCTGGGAGCGTGGGCAGCACCGCTCAGCGGAGACACGTACCTGCCAACGGGGGACCCCCCCCCCTGCCAATAAATATCCCGTCAGCTTCACGGGGCGGGCACGGCCACCCTCGGGTGGGCACAGGCTTGGCCGAGGGCAGGAGCTGGAAGCTGTCTGTGTTTTCATCTGTGCCTGGAAGCAGCTGTGGGGCCGCAGTGCCACCGTGCCGGGAGCTCACACGGGGTTTAGCCTATTTGCGTGCAGGTCTGGTTCGCCATCCCTGCACGCAGGCAAGCAAGCCCTCCGCTTGTCAGGCAGAAAAACTTTGGTTAATTATTGTGAAGCTAACAGCGTAACAAATTTTAGGAATAAAATATGGCCCCATGACCCCACACCACTGTGCAATTCCACCTTCTTATTTCTGACTGCATCCCTTAAGCTCCTGCACGGTGGAGCTCAGTTACATTCCCTGCCCCTCCAGGTGGTGAGCTCTGGCTCTGCATTTCGCTGTGCGAGCTCTGGTCCTCCCCGCGTTTTCTGCTTGCCCTGTGGCTCTGTTTTCCTCTAGTTTTCAAATTTCCCCGACTGTACGTTAGGGTTAGAAGTAGAGAAGGTTTTGTTAGGAATAGAGGCTTGAGCCAGCCCAAATCCCCTGGGAGTCGGTCATGATGCGAACTCCTCCTATATTCTTGCACAGTTTCTGGGAGTTTATTTATCATTTCAGGGGGAAAAAAAACCCAAAATAATAAATAATTAAACAATGAAACAAGATGAAAGACAAATCAGAACAATATTTCTATCCTGATCTTCTCAAAGTAAAACTGACTTTGTGTTATTTTGGTGAGGAAAGGAGCAAAGAAAATAAAAAGTTAAACATCATTAAACTTTAAAGCTCTAACCTAAAAGAAAAAAAAGTAAAATTCATAAATATTACATGGCTGGAATGCTCTTACTTCATCTACACACAAAAGGCCCTGAAATCCAGCACCCAGTGCTGCCTGGCCTGGGCAAGCACCGTGTCTCCGACAGGGGCTGGACAAACCCCCGGCTCCTTCATTCCCGCGGTGGGAGCAACGTCTTTGCCGCTAATCCTGGGAGACAGCGCAGCCTTCACCCCTTCCCGCCTGCTGCCTTCCGCCTGTTGTGATTTCAATTAACCCTAATTTGGAGGACCGCTGAAGGCTGTTTGTGGAATTAGAGTATCGCCCTGGTGACAAGATAACGACAGCTTACAAATCCCCGAGGCTTTAATGCATCAGCCTGGGATGGGAGGGCTTCTCCCTCTTTCCAAAACCCACCGCTGCCTCCCCACCTCCCTGGACCACAGCTTTGAAATGGAAACCCAGTGGCACGAAGGGAAAAAGGAGCCAAACCGAGCAGTGACCTTCCCTCAGCCTGTTCCAAAAACCCATCTCCATCCATGTGCAGCCTCGAGTGCGCCCGCCTTACCCCAAGCCACCGCAGCTGCGGCAGCGCTGTCCCGGCAAAAATAACCCACTGGTCATCCTGACCGACCTGAGGGCAACCCCCTGAAACACATGCTGGGTTTCTCCACGCTGATAACACAAGGCTGTAAAACCAATTTTACCCAGCGCATTGTTTTAGGTCTCTGCTTGATGCACAAAAGCCAGGGACGCCTGCAAAACGCTGCAGCAGAGATTTTGCTGGTGGCCATGGGGATGGGATGGCAGGGCCAGGATGGCACAGTGGTGACACGGGCAGCTGCAAGGGCAGGCAGAGATGGGCAGGCAAAAGCAGAGCTGATTGCATTTCTTATTTTGCAGGTGCTCTATAAAACGGCCTGGAGCGAGAGCGTGGGAAGGGACTGTGCCGCCTACTGCGCTAAGAAGTGAGTGTGAGGATAGGCTGGGTCAGCACCCCGGCGTGCAGGAGCATTGGCCACCTGGGTTCAGTGGAGGGAGCATGGTGGTTTGCAGCAGATTTTTTGGGCACCGCTTGGTGCACCTCTGTCCCGCAAACGAGGGTGGTTAACTGGGTTTTAAACCCTTAATCCAATAAGGATGGGGGAGAGGAAAGGTGCATGGAGCAGGGCAACTGCCTGTCTTCAGTCGGCTGTTTTCCAAATCCCTTCCCATGAGTGGTTCTTGCCTGGCAAGGAAGCCTGCTAAAGCCAAACGTAAGCCCGGAGGTCAGGATCAGGCCCATGCTGTGACTCAGGTGCCCTGAGCAGCTCCCAGGTGCTGCTGCCTGCAGCTGGAGGAAAGCATGGTGCTAATTATCACAGCTAGTACTCAGAAACGAAGCAGCTCCTGCTCGGCCGCCAAAGTGCTTTGGACCTTGCTGTGAGTTAACATGGCTGTGCCCTTTCCCCAGGTACGCCGACCACGTCCACAAGTTTCATGAGAACGGGGATGCAGGCGAGATGTGGCAGTGATGGATGGACGCGACCCTGCTGGCACCGGCTCCCCTTTCATCCTGCGGCAGGATCTGGCCCTTCATGCCCTGCCAGCCGCTTCGCTATAGCTTTGCTTTCTGCTTCATAGGATGGAGGCAATGATCCCCCCCGCTCCCATCTTCGGAAATCAAAAGCCTCAGCTAATGGAGAGTTGTTTTGCAGGACATGGCGTTTCCAGCCCTCTCTCCCTGGAGGAGGCCCGTGACCTCCTGATGTCCCAGAGAGCTCAGTCTTTACCAAAACACATGGAAAATGCAAGATAAGAGGTACTCCTCTCAGATGCAATATCTCTTTCCATCCTGTTTAAAATCCAGCGCAACACTGGGTGGACTAAATTTTCCACCAGAAATGCTGGGAAAAAACAACCTCCTGAACTTGCATTTTCAAGTGTCATATCTGAGAATTCCTGTTTTGCTCTGGTTTATTGAATTGTCAGAAGGCGAGCAGGCCTGCTGGGCTCTGGCGGAGCAAGCGCAACAGCGGCAGATAAAAATCAGCCATCCCGGGGTTGCTCAGTGCATTGCCCTCTTGCTGCCTCCCAGGTCAAACAAAGCCGTTGCTCATCTGTGCTCCATCTGAAGGGCTTCTCAGGACCTTCTGCAGCACCTCTCACCATGCTGCTGAGCACCAGCAGATGCTCTTCTTATACCAGAGCCGTCAGCTTGAAAACAGCCCGGCTAGTTAGGACTTAATGGTCATGAAGGGAGGTGTTGCTGGTCAGGACTGATCTCGCTGGGATGCTCTGGACCCTCTCCTTGCTGAGATGTTTCTGCGAAGCTTTGGTTGCCCTTCTGGGTGCAACGACTTCACCTAACCCAAAGCAGTACCTGCCTCGCATGGGGCTTTACTTGCCTTGTAGTTGATCTGCTCAACATCTGACCCTTTTAGGAAACTAGCAGTCAAATCAAGTGATTGCTGGTGGCGGGTTTGCTGGGTGATGAACACCGGGCTGCTAATTTGGGTTGATCTGGGGAGAAGAAGGTGATAGGAGAGGCTCTGATTAAAAAGAGCAGGTCCCAGCACCCACTGTTTCTGCTTCAGCTCGCTGTGACCGCATGGTGCAGGAAGATATCAGCTTATTAGCTAACGGTAGTCCTCAATTAAAATTCCCCTCCAAAGACAGGAGAATAGTGTTGCTTCCAATTAATATTTCATTGCAGATTCAGATCTATTCACATTCATGCTGCTGGGAAGCTGAGGCCTGTAACGGAGCGTGCAGGCAGCGATAGGCTTCACATCTGCCACGGGCAGCCCAGGTTTATTTATAGGAGCTGTGGCCTGTGGCAAAATGTAAAATACTCATAAATCGAAGGGAGGGATAAATCTCAAGGGACCAACCTGCACCTGTCCCGCTTGGCGCGGGGTAAACCGAGCCCGTCCGGAAGGGAAGAAACCACGGGGCGAGATGCCAGTGAGGGGCTCGGGGGCGGGATGCTGCCCTATGGCGGGGACCTCTTCATAAACTAATCGACTTCAGATGTGGAGGAGATGAGTTTTTGCTGTCTGAAATCAGTAGCACGGAAACGTGATCCGGGGAAGGGTGGGATGCTTGTTGAGGCTTTGTTGGGAAGGTTAAATTTGCTTTTTTTAGAAGCTGTATATGGTGTCTTGGAATTGCAAAACTTCTGCAGCTATTCACACTTGTACTCTTCATAAATGACTTAAAATAGATGTTGAGTTCTGCGGGACAAGTGATAAACGTAGACTTGCATTGACTGCGTTGCTTTTGTGCTTTGCTTCCTTTTTTTTTTTTTTTTTGCTTTTTATTTTTAAACAACTGAGAAATGTCCTGCCCGGGTCCAAGGGCAGGGGGGCAGCTAATTTTAGAAACCCATTACAGCAACTAAAGGCAGCGATGTCTGATGTTGAGTTCTGCGGGACAAGTGATAAACGTAGACTTGCATTGACTGCGTTGCTTTTGTGCTTTGCTTCCTTTTTTTTTTTTTTTTTGACTTTTGATATTAAACAACTGAGAAATGTCCTGCTCGAGTCCAAGGGCAGAGTGTGCAGCTAATTTTAGAAACCCATTACAGCAACTAAAGGCAGCGATGTCTCGCAGTGCCGGGAAGGGCAGGACCTCTGTCCCCGCGTGCTGGAGCTGGCGTCCCGGCTGCCGGCAAACACCGGTGTCCCGCGGGCCAGGCAAAAGGCTCCCAGCGAAGGAGGGACCACGGGAGCAGAGGGGCTTGAGCTCAGGCAGCCTCCAAACCCAGAGATATTCTGTATATCCCCAGGCGGCTGCTGGCACCCAGCTTGAATGGTGTAAATTTGTCTGGCTAATTTTGGGGGAGCTGGGCATGATTCCCTCCTTCCTCATCCTCCTTTTTTCTTGCTTTTCCAGCCCCAGGGGACCCCAGCAGCCCCAGCCCGGTGGGGCCAGGCTGCTTTGCAGGCTCTGACCTTGGTTTTTAGCCACGGCTTCCTTCTGCCAAGCCCAGCGAGTACAAGGGGGCCTGGGGAGGGCCGAGAGCCCCTGCCGCGAGGGGCCGAAGGGCAGAGGGCTGTGCTGGAGGTTTTGCAGCCCCCCGGGACTCCCAGGTTTTACTGGACCCCTGGCCCTGGAGCTGCTGGGTTTTAGCCCTCAGGCAGAGCCGTCACCTCCTTCCATGCAAAATGAAAATGGCAAATTCACCAATTTGTCCCAAAATCCTTCCTGGGGAGGGTGAGGGTTAGATGCAGGGTGTTATTTTCTCCTCTAATCACGCTGTTTTGCAGCTTCCAGCGATTCCTACTGCCACTGCATGGCACAAGGACCCACAGCTCCTGCCTTCCCCCAGCACCAGCTGCCGGGAAGAGGCTGCGCACACCCAAGGCATCGCAGCGAGCGCCGGCAGCGCGTGGGGTAACGCACCGCTTGCTCATCTCGGCACCAGAAATCTTACAGCAGCTAAGGGACGTCTGGGTGTCCCGGACAGCAAACAACGGCTGCTCCTGAGAGTCCAGCTTTGGCTGCCAAAAACCTCTGACCGGAGGCAGGGAAAGCCTGAACTGGGGAGGGCTCTTGGGTCACCGCCTGCCTGCGGCTGGCCGGCACCTCGGCCAAGTTTTTGGAGCTGCTTTCTAGAGACGTGCTGGAGGTGAAGGGATCGGGCAGAGCCGGGAGGTTGCAGGGCTCCGGGGGAAGCCTTGTCCCTCCGGGCAGAGCAGTGTGCACTGGAACAGCCGGTGAGATGCTCGTGTGTAGCACAAAACAAAAATCTGCAATTTTGGTCCCTGGGAAGATGCCCTGCACGTGGAGGGGTGTCCTCGGGTGGCTAGGCACCGGGAGATGTCTTCTCCAGCCCCTAACACCACCCAGCAACCCCGGCCAAGCTTGGCAAGGCTGGGGAAGGGCAGGACACAGCACAGCATCACTGGCAGTGCTGTGCCCAAACCCCCTTTCCCTCCAAAAAGCGAAGCAGTGGGTCAATTAAAGGAAGCAGAAGCCCCAATCTTGGGCAAGAGCTATAAAACAGCTCACCCTGTGCAGGGTTTGCCATAGGCAGGGTAAATGCTGTTATACCTGGTGGGGAGCGGGAGCAGGGCTGCCCTCGCTGTCCTGGTGTGTGGGGGGTTTGGGGTACACCCAGCTCATCACACACTGCCCAGCCCATCACTGGTTTCTCGGGTGTTACCGGCTGTGCTGGGTGACCTTTCGGGGACAGGCTCACTCAGAGCCCTGTTCAGTTCTGCTTACAGTTGGGTGAGGAGAGAAACGGGGCAGGCACCCTCTGCACCATGGAGCAGCCACGGCTCCGAAATGCCATTCCCCAAATGCAGAAGTCCCCGGAGGCAGCTGCGACCCACGGCAGCACGTGCGCAGGCTGGGGCTGACGCAGCTGCGAGAAGGGACGTGGCATCTGCCCACGGCACCAGCATGACCTCAGCACCGGCCGCGGCGAGCGCTGAATGAACCAGCATCTCTGCATGGACCTCAATGCTCCTCCGTACGTGGCATGAGGGCAGGTATTGCATTGCATCTCCCCGCTGCTGCCGGCCGAGCAGCTTCCCTGCAACTCCCTGGGTACTCCATAAATACCCCTGCACACCCCTATAGCCCCACACCCCTATAGATGCACACCCCTATGGACACACACCCCTGCACCCACCCTGAGCCCTGGCACCCCATGAGCCCCATTTTTGGCCAGGTTCAGAGGACAGCCCCAAAGCACCCTGCAGCGGGGACGGTGCTGCCCAGGGAGCCCCACAGCCCTGCTGTTGCTGGGTCCCTGCCTTTTTTAAGGATGGAAGTGGATTTTCTTCTAATTTGATTTGAAAGCCCCTTTTATTCCTGAGTGATTCAAAAGCAAAGGATTTCAGTGACCTCTTGCTCTCCCTCACTGTTTTAAATTTGATTATGGGAAACAATTTTAATTAGTATCGACATATTCAGGAAAATAATTACGGGAAAACCTGTGCTTTTTATATCCATTTAACCTGCAAATCTTCTGTCCCAGCTCAGAGACCCAGGCTGAATTTCAGGGGGTGGTGGAGGTTTGTATGGTAATAAAAGGCTCCTGGGGAAGCCCGGCTGGCTAATGAGATAACAGGCTGCTCACATCTGGGTCACAAGTTCAGTTTTTGCCATGGGCAGAGGAGACAGGAGAGAAATCACTGCCAGGATGAGGCCAATCTGTCTTGATTTTCAGCTGCAGCGCACGGCTGGGGAGAGCGGCAAGGGGCCCAATCCAGCTCTAGCCCCACACCATCCCCGCCGCGCAGGGGATGCCGAATGCCCTGGCAGCCCAGCCGGTGCATGTCCACACTCAGGAGGAGCCGGGCGATGCGGCGGCGTTTGCAGGGCAAGCTGCAGCAGCAATTATTGCAGTGCTATAAAAAAATAATATGATTTTTCTAAAGGTCTCTGGCCGGGCGCCTCATCCCTCCGGTCCAGTTCCTGCTGGAAACGGGTCTCCAGAGCCACTAATGCACAGGCAGCAAACGTGTTTGCTCCCACTCTGCAAATGGAAAAGTGAGATCGATCGGGTCTGAGCGGAGCT